GGGTTGTTTGATTCGTCTGATAATTTCAGGGCCGATAGATCTTGACCAATTAAACAATTTTACCCCATGTCACATTTGCTCTAAAAGATTTAGTTTTTGAGATATGAGCCAAAAACTGCATTTGACCCTTATGTTCTATTTTTAGCCATGGCAGCCATGTTTGTTGATGGATACAAACTTCGGATACAATTTATAAACAAGATACCCTAAGGAACATTTAGTTAAAGTTTGAAGGTAATTGGCCCAGTAGTTTCAGAGGAGAAGATTTTTAAATGTTAGCAAACTTGTTGAACAAATTGTGTAAAATTGTCTTTAAAGGGCAATAACTCCTTAAGGGGTCAATAGACAATTATGGTCATATTAACTTTTTTGTAGATCTTACTTTGCTGAACATTATTGCTGCTTACAGTTTATATATATCTATAATAATATTCAAAATAATAACAAAAAACTGCAAAATTTTGTTAAAACTACCAATTCGGTGGCAGCAACCCAACAATGGGTTGTTCGATCGCCTGAAAATTTCAGGGCCGATAGATTTTGACCAATTAAACAATTTTACCCCATGTCACATTTGCTCTAAAAGATTTAGTTTTTGAGATATAAGCCAAAAACTGCATTTGACCCTTATGTTCTCTTTTTAGCCATGGCAGCCATGTTTGTCGATGGATACAAACTTCGGATACATTTTATAAACAAGATACCCTAAGGAACATTTAATTAAAGTTTGAAGGTAATTGGCCCAGTAGTTTCAGATGAGAAGATTTTTAAATGTTAGCAAACTTGTTGAACAAATTGTGTAAAATTGTCTTTAAAAGTCAATAACTCCTTAAGGGGTCAATTGACAATTATGGTCATATTAACTTTTTTGTAGATCTTACTTTGCTGAACATTATTGCTGCTTACAGTTTATATATATCTATAATAATATTCAAAATAATAACAAAAAACTGCAAAATTTTGTTAAAACTACCAATTCGGTGGCAGCAACCCAACAATGGGTTGTTTGATTCGTCTGAAAATTTCAGATCTGATAGATCTTTACCAATTGAATAATTTCACCCCATGTCAGATTTGCTTTAAAAGCTTTAGTTTTTGAGATATAAGCCAAAAACTGCATTTGACCCCTATGTTCTATTTTTAGCCATGGCGGCCATGTTTGTCGATGGATCAAAACTTCGGATACAATTTATAAACTAGATACCCTAAGGAACATTTAATTAAAGTTTGAAGGTATTTGGCCCAGTAGTTTCAGAGGAGATGATTTTTGAAATAGTTTACGACGACAGACGACGATGGACGCCAAGTGATAGTATAAGCTCACATGGGGCCCTTCGGGCCCCGGTGAGCTAAAAAGGCTATCGCATACATGACATACATACTTGAAAGAAACATATTTGAGATAACAGGGGATGAACATCTTTTGTTTGAAATATATGATTACATTATGAAATGCCTCATTTCAATATTTAGATGATGAAAAAAAAAACAATACACTCAGGAGCTTGGTGGTGAAAAACACAATTTGATATTTGCTTGAGGGGTGAATTGGAATTAATAATGCAATTGAAAAAAATATTTCACTCAATTACATCAAAATTGGTGGGTAAAAAACCCAAATTGTGAATTTTTATCTGGAGCTCTGTTCAAAACTATCAGCATTATGAAACTTGAAGGCACAGAAGAAATTCTGCTAACCAGAATCAAGAATTTATTCTGTTGGCTGCTTCAGCAGATCACAAAAATGGGGAATTTAAAGAACAATCCACACATTATTCCTACCAAGTTTTGGTAAGACCCACCTCGTAGATTTCAGATGAGATGAGGATATTGTTTTTTTTTTTTCATACGCTGCAATGCCAGTAGCAGCCAAACTCGACACTCAATGTGGAATCTTTGATGTTTCTCTATCTTCATCTGGACGTTAGAGGATACTTCAATCGGTATTTGAATAAAGATTTGTCTTTGTACTTCCAGATAACATGTTAGAAAACTCATCCATCGGCAATATTTTTAAAACAATAGGGACGAATTGAGAAATGTCTAAATAGATCGAGAAAATTACTTCGCTCTTCTCTTTAATAACATAAGCGGTACCAATTTTTTTATGCACCAGATGCGCATTTCGACAATTAATGTCTCTTCAGAGGTCTTCTCTTTAAATAGAAAAAAAAAAACTATTTTCTATATTATCATCTCTACCAACAGGAAGACACCACACTCCTATATACAATTATCTTTTGGAGACGCAGTGTTGTGTTTGTTTAGATAGATAAAGTAACACTACCTCGACTATTTTCCAAGTGAGCGGAGAGGATTGGATGCTGGTTTACGTTCACGTATCTTATATTTTGTAGGCACTATTTGAAGATGACAAATAATTATCACCACAGTCAAATAAAATATACTGACTTGATTGTTCAATAACTATTACGTAGCCTTCATCACTAAGTTTTTTTGCATGATGGCCATCCTAACATATATGATCAGGAAAAAACATCAATAAGAAATATATTATAAGGTCACACTAATTACCAAACTAACTGTATGTATAACTTCTACTGTGATGATCAGTACAAAATGTAGGCCTAAAACATTGTCATAATTATCTGTGGGATATCAATAACCTGGTTAACAAGAACAGGTCCTTTGTAAATACAAAACATATTTCTAGATGATCCTTTCTTAAACTTAATTTGAGACATGTTAACTGCACTATATCCTATCGACAGTGGTCCAATGGTATAGCTTGATAAAAAAAAATGAACAAATTCTCTCTTGTTTGCGAAAATATCGTCAACTTGTGTGACTTTGCCATATAATGAACATATTCATATCAAATTATAAAAAAATCTACAAATCATGAATCAACATTGCACACGGCGGCGGGTGATGCCGTATATCAATCTAAGAATATAGGAGGATTCAGAATATTTTTTCAAACAAAAAGCGAAGATTTGTATTAACGACTCTGCTTTCATGTGCCTTTCAGTGCTAGTCTAAAACCCTTATTTCCTGCTCTATAGTAATCACTGTATAAGTTACAGCAACATGTTTTCTTTGTTAGATACGTCATTGTTTTCAAGTATTGAAGCGACTGAAAGGTCATTAAAACTAACCTCTACAAACTAGCTATACTACCACTTAATTCAATGTAATAATTTTCTATCGTAAATGAACAATTTAAAAAATCCCCAAAATGCCTACCAATATGCTATTATACGTTTTTTATACCCCGCTCCAAAGAGTACCTCTGCCCGTAAAGCTTTTTCAGTTTCTCCAATTTTCTTCTTTGTGTAGTCCCTAAAACGTAATGAACCTAGTCACAATAGCTCATCCTGTCAAACGCTGCTTTTGCTCAACATTGACAGTTTCGAGCTTTCTGGCGGACACTAATTGCTCAATTGTTCAGGTAAAATAATTTTACATTTTCAACCCCTAAATGACTGGAAAAACAAAGGCCTTGGGTCTCCCGGTGATGCCGTTTCTCTAAAAAATAGGAAATAGTTATAGACGACCGAAATATGACCCAAAAAAAAGAAACTTACAATGTTCAATGCATTTATCAATTTGAAATTGAAATAGAATTAAAGATAAGTCATTGGTTATGAGCAATTAATATTTTTATTTTTTATGGCCCTCCATCGGGATTTGAACAAGGATCGCTAGGTATAGGTTGAAGATCATATAAAGAACTGTCTGTATATATTGTATATACTTGATATTTTTTTCTATTTTTGAGATAGAGACATTGTATTGCAAAATCTGTTTCAATAGGTAATAGAAAATGCATTTGTTTAATGCTACTTTGATGTCTTGGATTTCAATTTGCACATTTTTGCCTATATGAGATAAATATATTGAAACAATTTAACTGTTTACAATTTTTATTCTTTTATAAAAAAGTTTTGAGTCGAAGATATACACAACTGAATAAAAAGAATATTGATACAAGATTGAATAACATTTTATGCAAATTACAACATTTTCATTACTTCTGATTTCGATATTTTCATTTTTCTATCTTTTAAAATACAGTCATATGGTATGATAATTGTTCTATATTTCTAAAAAAAAAAGGTCCAGACACAACTGACATTTTAGGAATAGGTGAGATAAACAGGCTTCGTTTTAGTCTTCGATCTGATCTGTATGCAGTAAAAGATAACCAAGAACTTTAGGTTTTAATCCAAATTTTAGCACAATGCTTATGATCCGAATTAATTCGGGTTCATAGAATCGATAAAGAGTTATCGTTGGTTATTTTTAATGTTTGTCTTGTTCATTTAACTCTAACCCTCGCATTTTCGACACCATATAAAACTTGTGAATGTATAGGCACTTTACCTTGACAAGACAGGTGTGGGATACCTGTACAAATTGAATCATTTTATACTATCCCACTTTTATTTGTATTTTGAATATGACGTATACATACACAAAAAAATATAACTTACACTACTTCAATATTGGGTTTCAATCAAGTTTTGACTCATATGTACCAGTGACCTAAACTTTGAGTACAACACGGGCTGTGGGCTTCGTTCTCCTTAATATTATCGTTGGGCTTCAGTCTCAAGTTTAAGGACTCCGGGCTCTATACAGCAATGTTTTCAGTTGAGAATATATGTTGGTTCTTCAATAAGCTTCAGTGTGTTAAAGGCGGTCTAGTCGCATGGATATCGAATTTTACATGACACGAGGTGCATGACAGAAATGTGACCAATATATAACATGTGTTACTCCGAGGAGAGAACAAACTATTCATATTTTGTTGGTACCTTTCGAACTATCTTATTTTTTCGCCTCCCGATTCTTTTCAAAGAAAAGCAGTCATTCTGTTTCGTATCACCTGATCGAAATGTATGACAAAACAATCAGATATTTAAGGTTTGTTTGTAATCTGTCCAGTCCCAAAAACAAAACAACTTATCAAATTACATCGTTATCGCTTCATTTTATAATTGCGAATTATTTATAACAATGGATTTACATATTTAGAAGATAATTGCATATTTTATGTAATTTAATGATACAATCAGGTGACTATAGAACATATTTGAAACTAATCGATCCCACCCACCAACTACGGTCAATTGATTGCTTATAAAAAGGGTGAACAAGGATAGATATCAGTATAAACTTTTCAGCTATAGTACAATGCAGATATATTTCTTTTCATATTTGTGTGGTGTCGTGTGTGTAAGTCTGTTGGCTGTTCATGCAATACCAAGTTTTGAGGATTTTTTATCCAGCGATCAACCATGGTCGGCAAGTATATTTACTTATTGTATTTTACATAATTTCAAGTGTTTAATAGTGAATGAAAATTTAGTCAGTATTCGATTATTTCTTTCAAATAAATATTTCATCACAGTTATTTTTTTTATTACTATTATTTCGAGAGAGTAATTAGCGAGATCAAGAATTAAATACTATAATTCATAGAAAATTGTAGCAAAAAGGATAAATAAATGGTTTAAGATTGAAGACATCTAATTGGGGAATGGACCCCCCTTTTTTCTAAATATTTGTTTTTGCTTTAATTTTTATTTAGTACATATTCTATAATATTTTAATCTATTTTCATTTATTTGATGTGTTCTTGTTCTTATCCATACGACATTACAATAACAGTAGTCAGAATAGAGGCGCATTATATATAAACTACTATTCAGTATTGTAATATTGTATGAATAAGAGAAAGAACACGTTAAATATTTAGGAAAGGGGGGGGGTCCCGAAGCGCCTTGTGACTTCCAGTACTTATCTGCTAATCTATAACCATTGTTTCTCTCTTTATCGAAATCACTGCACAAGTTATAGCAATGTGTTTTCTATACTATATACATCATTGTTTTATTGAGACTGAAAGCCCTTAAAACTAATCTCTACAATCTAGATATACTACCACCGTGAATTCAATATAACAGTTTTCGATCGTAACTAAACAATCAAAATTTTTTTACCAAAAATGCCTACCAATATGCAATTACGTTTTTTTAACCCGCTCCAAAGGGTTCCTCTACCCGTTTGTCCGTAAAACCTTTTTCAGTTCTTTCAATTTTCTACTTTGTGTAGTTCTTAAAATGTCATTCCCATAGTCACAATTAGTCAACATAAAGCGGTGTATAAATTAGTGCGCAAAAGCTTGCATTAAAACTTAACGATCCTTTAAAAAAACTTGTTCTAAAAGGTTACAAATTAAACACTTTAATTAGATCTTTGAATATTGTTTTTACCGGTTTAAATATTGATTTTGTTGTCAATAAATTAAAACCCATCTAAATATTATTGCTTTACACATATGTACAATTACAATTGTCTTACAATTTGTCGATACACATAGTTTGGCATTGCACAATGCCATGTTTTTCTCTGACTGTTTTTACAGACGTCTTTACAATTAATCCATTGCATGTTGGATGTGTATACTGATCGGTATTTTAGTCTTATAGATACATGATTTTTTTATTATTTGTTATTGGCTTTCAGTCACTTAGAGTACTCTAAGATCTGTACCTTTTTTCTTTTGTCGTTTAGTTTGTTGTTTTTGCGCTTTGTTTCGATCTGAAGAGTTAAGCCATTTTCAACGGATTTTTATATTCATTCTATTCTTGTGTTGTGCTGTTTCGCCGATGTCCCATGTCAGGGAGAGGGTTTGGCGCCCGCAAAACATGTCTAACCCCGCCACATTCTATATGTGCCGTAGTGTCTCAAGTCAGGGCCTGTAATTCAGTGGTTGTCGTTTGTTTCTGTTTGTCATATTTGATTTTTCGTTTGCTGTTTTGTACGTTAAGCAGGACGTTAGTATTCTCGTTTGAATTGTTTCTCATTTATCATTTCGGGGCCTTTTATAGCTTGCTATTGCTCATTGTTGAAGGCCGCACGGGGATACGGGCCAACCTCTTCTTCTGTGTCGGATTGTCAATCATACCACATCTTCTTATTTTCATAGTTCTTCACGAGAATATACTTTTAAAAACAATTTTTAAATGTGTTTGTATAAAATTATCATAAACAGTTTTTATGTTATCATATCATTTAATATGTTTGTTACAAACATGACCTCCATATATTTGTAGAAACGGAAACAATGAAACAGTACTTGACCTATAACTTCCTGAAGATAATTATTTCATTAAAAAAGCACTTCTTCAATAATTACATTTACAGAAATAAACCACTAAAAATGTGACGGAATTACTCATCGCTGAGACATGGTGATTTTATGGTATATGCGTTGTACTTCTACTCTTTTGAATGGCTAGCATCAAGAACATGTACAGTTGGGTGCTTAATCAATCGAGACTATGTCAATTAAGAGCAATTTAACCAAAATGATCTGGAAGTGAAAGGATTCACAAGTAAATAAAAACTGTTACTGGAACAAACATTTCTGTTTTATTTAACATTTACAACTGACAAAATAGATTTAATTACCGCAAGACAAAATTCAAAGTTTATACTGTAAGTTTAAGATAGACAAATAATCCACCGAATGAAAAAGTCTGACCATATGGCTCTCTCGATCCTATAACTTCAAGAACACCTATGGCTCTTCCGATCCTATACCACCAAGAACACCTATAATGGCTCTCCCGGTCCAATACCTTCAAGAACACCTATGGTTTTCCCGATTCTATACCTTCAAGAACACATATGACTCTCCTGATCCTATACCTTCACGAACACATATGGCTCTCCCGATCCTATACCTTCAAGAACATATATTGCTCTCCGGATCCTATACTTTCAAGAACACCAATGGTTCTCCCGATCCTATACCATCATGAACACCTATGACTCTCCCGATCCTATACCTTTAAGAACACCCAACTCCAATATAAAAACTAAGACGAATGAAGTTAGAATGTAAAGTGCATGAAGATGTAAGAGATAAATATCTTTTTCATCTTGAGATTAATAGCTGAAATTTTAAGTTGTAAAATTCCGTAATTCATGCAGAAAAAAATCTTTTTATTACAAAATATGACTAACAAAGTTTGTAAAGGAGTGCATTTTTTTTATTGTGTCTCACGTCTCTACAGGTTAGCAGTAAACAACAATGATTTATAAATCTATAAACATTTATGAGTGCAATATACTTAAACTATACTTTCAATATGTTAATAAACAAGTTTTATGATACTTAGCGAAGGAAAAATATATAGAAATTAAAGAAAATCAAGAAGTGTTACCATGTCAAAAAAGAATGATACTTAAATATTAACAAATCGAAGAACATCTTCAAGATATAACACGTTTGAGTTTAATTGAATAACTCAACAAAATTTCGAAAAACTGACTAGAGCTCTCAATTTCATACCTCACTGAAATCTAGCAAAATGTAATAAGACGAACAAACTTAGAAAAGAACGGACGATCACTACGTATTTATACTCCCCTTTGTCAGTATTCCCGCTCGAATAAAAGACAACAGATACTATGATATATATAATACAGTTGTCATATATATATCCAACGCAATCATAGGTTTGAACGTTGTTTTCAATTTAGACTTATATATATATATATTTCGTTTGGGCTTGTATTATATTTTCCTTCGGGTTTATATGATCCGTTCATCCTATTTCGACTCTTTAAAATTCAAGAGTCTTTCCTAAATTGAGGTAAATTATAAGGCCTTCCAAATACCGTTTCGATCCCTAACATCACTGAAGAGACATAAATTGTCGAAATCCGGATATGGTGTACACATTTTTGCACCTCATGTTTGTGGTATACCATCTTTTCCACAAGTTTATTGTTTTCTGTTTGGTATTAAATTAATATTAAGATCCATTTTGTTAGATCTGGTGATCAATTTATTTGGCAATCGCCAATGGCAGTCAGCAGGGTTTAAGAACATCAGTTGTTCGACCTGTTAGTCAAATGCGTTTTGTTAAAATAGACTTTTTCACTTTTTTGGTATTTTGGAAATTGTTGTTTGTGCTGTATTTAGACCCCTCTACCAAGAAATTTGTTTTGCATGCACACGTATAAAAATTGCGGTTTTTATCCCACGTAATCATAGGTTTGAACGTTGTTTATATATATACAAGTCTAAATTGAAAACAACGTTCAAACCTATGATTACGTTGGATAAAAACCGCAATTTTTATACGTGTGCATGGAAACAAATTTTTTGGTAGAGGGGTCTAAATACAGCACAAACAACATTTTCAAAAAGACCAAAAAAGTGAAAAAGTATATTTTAACAAAACGCATTTGACTAGCAGGTCGAACAACGGATGTTCTTAAACCCTGCTGACTGCCATTGGCGATTGTCAAATAAACAGATCACAAAGATGTAACAAAATGGATCTTAGCTATTTATTTAATACCAAACAGAAAACAATAAAATTGCGGAAAAGATGGTATACCGCAAACAAAAGGTGCAAAAATTAGTACACCATATCCGGATTTCGACAATTAATGTCTCTTCAGTGATGTTAGGAATCGAAACGGTATTTGGAAGGCCATAAAATTTACCTCAATTTAGGATAGACTCTTGAATTTTGAAGAGTCGAAATAGGATGAACGGATCATATAAACCCGAAGGCAAATATACAAGCCCAAACGAAAAAATATAAACAAGTCTAAATTGAAAACAACGTTCAAACCTATGATATATATATATACGGTTGTACTACAGAACTCATAATTCCATACTAACGGTCCTTTACCTACAATTCCATCAGAAACATAATCAAGACATTTTTAATTTACGTATCTGCCAATATGTAAATTCCCTTAAAGTATTCATATCGAAAAATAAAAATAAAATAGGTATCTCAGTCTTTTCACAACAAATCATATCATTCGCCATTTACTTTATACACATTTAAATAAAACAAATTATCTCCTCTTTGGCTATATCAAATGACTATGTTCAAACTAGTTGTAGATTCATTTTTTGTTATTTCCATCAAAGTTTTGTATTAGTCAATTTATTATCATATGAACAACTTCGTATTTTTAACACGAAGGATACCAATAGTGGAGATAGAACTGCTGTATTGTGTTGGGTTTGTTTTGCTCAAGAACTTTGTTTTTTAGACCGCTGCTGGTTCGTCGTATTTCTTTTTTAGTAGTTTGTTTTTTAGACCGCTGCTGGTTCGTCGTATTTCTTTTTTAGTAGTTTGTTTTTTAGACCGCTGCTGGTTCGTCGTATTTCTTTTTTAGTAGTTTGTTTTTTAGACCGCTGCTGGTTCGTCGTATTTCTTTTTTAGTAGTTTGTTTTTTAGACCGTTGCTGGTCCGTCGTATTTCTTTTTTAGTAGTTTGTTTTTTAGACCGCTGCTGGTTCGTCGTATTTCTGTTTTAGTAGTTTGTTTTTTAGACTGCTGCTGGTTCGTCGTATTTCTGTTTTAGTAGTTTGTTTTTTAGACCGCTGCTGGTTCGTCGTATTTCTGTTTTAGTAGTTTGTTTTTTAGAGCGTTGCTGGTTCGTCGTATTTCTGTTTTAGTAGTTTGTTTTTTAGACCGTTTCTGGTTCGTTGCATTTCTGTTTTAGTAGTTTGTTTTTTAGACCGTTGCTGGTTCGTCGTATTTCTTTTTTAGTAGTTTGTTTTTTTAGACCGCTGCTGGTTCGTCGTATTTCTGTTTTGGTAGTTTGTTTTTTAGACCGTTGCTGGTTCGTCGTATTTCTGTTTTAGTAGTTTGTTTTTTAGACCGTTGCTGGTTCGTCGTATTTCTGTTTTAGTAGTTTGTTTTTTAGACCGTTGCTGGTTCGTCGTATTTCTGTTTTAGTAGTTTGTTTTTCCGACTCATATTTTATAATTGTCTCTTTGGTATCTTCTCCCCTTTTTGTACACACAAAAAAAAAATGAAAAAATCGACTTGCCATTTATTTGAGTATATAAATAAGCAAAACATGAATTGGTGATTGAAAATCCTTTCGGAATTTTGGGTCCTCAATGGTTTTCAACTTCGTACTTTATTTGACCTTTTTAACTCTCTTGATTCGAGCGTCACTGATGAGTCTTTTGTAGACGAAACGCGCGTCTGGCGTACACAATTTTAATCCTGGTATCTATGATGAGTTTAATTATCTCACATATTGTATAATAAAAATTGATTTGATCTTGTAACCGCTTATGAAAAAAAATATCTGGTTTTAAAATTGCATCTGACATGAACAGTATATTGCGGCATTTGTGTGTTTGATAGTTCTTTCACGATTAGATACTAAAATATTTTGTTAAGAGAGGGACATGTAAAATTAAATATATGCCAATGTATGTCCGAGTCTGGATTTGAGAGGAGTAAGGTAAGTCACGATTAACGGTAGCATCCCATTTAAATACGAATTTTAATCAGGATTAAACGGGTTCAAGTGCTAACTCGTAGGCCATTCAATAAAGTAGAATGTCTCGAACTTGTAAAACACTATGGATCCTGTATTCAAACAAAATGGAGCTCTAGTACCACCGAAATCTCATTTTTACAACATCTACCCTATTATTTTCATGTCTACCACCCAGTAGATACTGTGTTTAAAGTGGACATTTCAATAAAAATAAAATTGAAAATATTATACCTACACAACCTGCGTCATTATTCATTTTTTGAAGTATTACATTCAATACTCCTATTTCTCTACCCCTTTATTCAATATAAACACATGTTTAACAATATCTTATGCATCTAAGTTTATTTTATATATAATTTTTATATTTCTCATAAATTTTAATTTTTATTACATCAATTTGTATATGAAGTTGTTAAAAAATTATTAAAAAAAAATGAATTAAAAAATAGTGAAAAACAGAAAAGAAAACAAAATCTACGAAACATAAGCAGAGTTTGTTCACTGTATTTCAATGTATAAATATTTCCTGAGGAAGATAGGTGGTTCTCTCCGGAAACTTCGTCTTCTTCCACAAATAAAAACTGGCCGTAACGAGATCGCAAACATGAATAGTGCTGAAAGTGGTGTTAAGCACCAACTATTAATCAATATATATATATATATAAATAATGGTAGATCATATATACCTTCAAATAACATAAATGCAAGATGCCAATTGCCATATTACAAATTTTGAATTACTTATATACATAACACAAATGTACTAATTACAAAAGCACATATTTCAATTTTTTTTAAATTACATAGTTGGAAAGTTCGGGTTACAATTCTCAAATGTTCAATTGTCGAGTGGCACTGTTACAAATTAAGAATATCAAAGTTGGAATTTCAAAATTGGAGTTGCATACATACAATTTAAGAATTGCAAAGTTGGAATTGTGCCACCTTTGTTTTTCCATAGCGATATATATGTAGCCCAAAACCGCTAGTTTGATAGAATTTGGCAAATGTTTAATAATGGATAATAAAGACATTATTAAAAAAAAATTCTGTAGAAAAAAAAGTTGCATATTGGTTTTTTTTATATGAATTATTTTTGTTTTTGGTTTGACTATCTTTCAAAATGCAGTCGCTTTTTATTTCATTTTCCTAAATTCATTCCATATTTTTGACTCCTGTTTAGAATTATAGAAGAAATGAATTCCCCCATTATAGGGAGGAAAGTATTAGAAAACAGACAGTCCACAATATTTTAGCATAAATATGAAATAGCCAACATCCTTGACATCAGCAAACACGACCCAAGATAATAAGATAATTTCAGATAAATGTTTCCAATTAAAGGCGATTTGTCTCGGTTTATGCGGTTAATTTTCGATGTATTAGTTTTACTTGATGCCCTATTGTAAATTCTGCCTGCATTGATCAGTTATAAAGCTATTATTTGTCAATTTTATGTTTATCCCAGAAGTTTTAAACCAACAAACAATAGGCATCTGGTATTATAGAATTGTCAATTTATCTGATTAACCATCCATTAACCGACCGTTACTTGTAATCTATATCGGAGATGTAAATATATAATAGTTTAATTAATTTTGACGCCATAGCATTTTTTTATATAACAAAATTGATTAAACAGCAGGCGCAGATCCCTAAGTTCAGGTTTGTTGGCAGCACAACTCTGACATTTTAACCGAGCAGAGCTGAAAGAAATATTTTTTTCTGTGTCTTATGTCTTTTTTTCGATTTAAGGAAGGGCGCGTAATGTAATAGTAGTACAGATTTGTTTTATTTCATTGTGTTGTATCATCTTTTTAAATACACAAAATACCCTAAAATCTATTAAAGGAGAATAAATGATAAGGTCACGTTGTCACAGTCACGGTTTGGCCCCTAGAATCAAAGACGCTTGGGGCTTGGATCACCCTTTTCCTTTATTTTTTTATTACTCGCCGCAATATAGCCTTTTGTGCTGATACGGCGTTAAGCAATCACCAATCAATCAATATTCTTATATGTGGAAAATAAGTATAACGAGGCATGCTATGTTACATAATATCTACTGTTATTGTAGTATCGTATGGATAAGAACAAGAACACATTTAATCATTTTAACAAGACTACTTACTAAAAACTTAATGACAAAAAACCAACGGAAGGAAAAAAAAGGGGAATCCATGCCCAAGCGCCTGTGCCTAGATATATAAAACGTTAAGTACAAGAAACCCTACACAAAGCTATGTCGAAGTTGATGGAACAAGTTCTAATGAAGTTAAATAAAATAAATGAAGCATATGTCATCCCAAGAACTCAGTCGTTATATTCAGCTGCTCTAGATACAAAGGGTTACGTAAACTGGCTAACGTTATCTCTCCATTCTTAAATTGCTAATTTCAGAATACTCAGAATTTAAACTCATTGATCATCTTAACAAATATTTGAATTTCTGATGTAAATAGTTTGTCGATAAAAAGATTAAAAGATGTGGTATGGTTGTAACGAGACAACACTCTACCGGAGACGAAATGTGTTGAAGTTAGAAAGTATTGTCCTTCAACAATGAGCCGAAAAACCATCCCACATAGGCCCCAACATGGCAAATGTAAAACGATAAGCAGTTTAATGACTCCTATTGACAGAATTGTAAAGTAATATAATTTTGAAATTTTGCAGGGTTTGCCCCAATGCAGCTGGCTAAATAAACCTTGCGATTATGCATTGAAGACAATCTCACAAAGACGTTCACCTAACGGAGATGTCGAGCGAGAAGAGACACTATTTGAAACAACAACAGAGATCTGCACATGCCCAGATGGTGTTGCTTGTCCGCGAGGATGGGACAATGTACCAGGAAAAACAATTACACGAAATCTTTTATCATCAGGTAAGATATAGAGGAAACTGAATTTTACGTTTAGGATGAATGGAATTGAACTATCTTAATATGAATAAAAGGTTTTGTTTTCATACACAAAAGTATTGAATGTCTGCCCGCATGATGATAGTTTCTGATCAATTTATTCATACTTGGGCCAAGTTAACAACACTTTGCTTCTGTCGACCATCCGTCGTAAGATCATTTACATTTTTATCATTTCTTCAAAACCACCAAGCTTATTTGAGCAAAACCTGACAGGGATGGTATACAGAAGTTCTTATAACAATTACTTACTCGATGGTCAACTTGATTTGTTTTTTTCCTAAACAAGTTTGATTTTACAAGGTACTTGTAGTTTATTTTAAACTTGTAGGAAAACGTGTTGAATACAAGTCGAACTATTGCACGGAACCAAGTCCAGATAGAATTTGTAATGTGGAAGAAGAGGAAGTGGCAGTTGTAATGACTGGGGTTATGTACCCTGATGTAGTTGAGAGCGCGAACTGTGCTTGCCCAAACAATGATTTCAACTTACAATTGAAGAGAGCTTACTATGTGTCCACTTTCAAAATCACACATGAATTTGTTTGCAGTATGGTAAATATTTTTCGGAGTGTAAAATAAAACCAATAAAATAACATGCATAAATGGAAATTTTTCTTTTGATATTCGAGTGAGTTAACATCCTTTATTTTTAGAGGAGTGTATTAAGCACGTAACTAAGTCTGGAGACAAATTTTACTACCGGACCGAATTTACTGTTATATTGTATCGTATCAGAATATATAATAGTATATTCCAAAAATATATGTCATGGGATGTTCAGTCATTCCTTCCACTTTACAAAGTTCTATCTCCTATAATTGAGCATGATTCAAATATTTTTCACTGGACCTTACGCAATCATCTATCCCTCCTCAACAATTTTCGATTAGGGAACACTATTCAATAACACATCAATCGCTGTCGGGTCTAAACCTTAATATAAATTCCAATATAATTATTCATTTACATGTACATGTATCTAAAAACAAATGAACCATGTGTCCATTTTATGACAAAAATGACGTTTTGGGCACAAAATGGTAAGCGCACCACTATACATGATTGACATATTTAAAATTCACGAAAAGCACATATAAGTTTCATTGGTCAGCTCTGGGTCACTATTTTAAATTAAAACTTTGACATTTGTCATCGCCCATTAATATTACAAATCATATATAGCCACACCTCTTTATGATCATATTGAACGCAATCAAAGCTACGCTTTTCGTGCATCAATACGTTAATTCGTAAAAGGAGTTATATATATATATATATATATAAAACCAAATTATTATTTTTTAGATTTTAAAAGCTTTATGTTTATTCAAAACTGTAGCAATTAGTAGCAATCTAAAAATGAAAGCACAAACAAATTTCTTAAATGTGCTTAATATTTTTTTGAATAATTTTAGAGAACCTGCAACATGAACACATCCAATAGAAGAGTGTGCAAGAAAATAAAAAAGGACCAAACCACGGAATACAGGTGTACTTGTCCGGAAGAATATGAATGCCGCATGGAACCTTCAGCAAGAAAGGGTTATTGTGAAAGACGTGTTGAAATGTAGAAAGAATAATTAAGAATTAAAATATACTGATTAGCATTAGTGAATTGTTAGTAACACCAATTAAGAAACGGTGCAAAAATGAACAAATACATGTAAAAATATGTTCTTATAGTTTGTTTTTTGTTTTGTTTATTTTTTTGTAAAGCTTTTCCATAACTGCCATTCATTTATTGTAAATGTTCTTACACGTTTTGTGTACATATATGTTGTTTTTAAGTGCTTTTTATTAATATCTTAAATACATTTTATGGAAACAATTGTGGACTAGATAGTTGTTTGCACACAATAGAAATGAATATCCTATGAATCCGGTCGTTTAGGTACAGAAGTTCCCTTGAAGATTTGTGTGACCACGAATACCGACTCATTATTTTCAATGAGTTTTGTTGATGAAATAACTATACAGTTTATGGAAAGTAACTAAGGGTATATTAATAAATGATATTATGGGTATATGCCAAATAGACAACACCTCATCGACACAAATAAACAAAAGACATATAATGATAATTCCATGACCAAAACAAACCTGTCCAAAAAAATACAGAAAAGGGAAAATGTAAAAATAGTCAATTCAAATGTTTTTGCGTTTTTAAATGTAACTGTCCCTTTGGTTTGAAATTAGAATAGGACTGATCATAACAATCGATTTGGATATTACATTATAAAAATAAGGAGATGTGGTATGATTGCCAATGAAACAACTATCCACCACAGTTCAAATGAAGTTGGTGTCAGGAATTATAGACAATCGTACGGCCTTCAACAATGAGAAAAACTATGATGTCAAACGCATCATTAAACCACAATGTCTTTCGTCAGGTATTTGTCGAATATTTTGGCCTAAAGGTTTTCAAATGTTTTTTTGGTTCAGTCTCTTGAAGAAAATAACTTTGCTTTTTCTGCTTATGTTACACAGAGTAACTTTAGTTTCAACGTTTATAGTTATTTGACATCATTATTACACGAAAACGTACAAATAATATTTTACTAAAAAAGAAGGAGGTAATTTCATTCAACGTGGTCTATTTATACACTTAAACTTTAGAACGCTCATTTGAGACAATGCTGTATGAATTTTTATAATCTATTTTCGATTTTATGTTTATATGATGGCGAAAAATAAAGTCCTTTAGCTGTATATAAATATATAAATGTATTGTGTTTTTGATATTAACTGATCTTTTAAACTTTTAAGCATAATAACTGACATGTTGTGTTGATAAAGCGCAAATGTCCTATTGAAAAAGCGCGAATGTCCATTAAAAAAGCGCTAACAACCTATCAAAAAGCGAAAACTTCCCGCGCCGCTATCCCGTTGTGGAAAAAAGAATTGAGGGGCATCATATATACACTACTGTTATTGTTATATCGTATGGATTAGAGCAAGAACACATGAGTGAAATTAATTTAAAATATTCAAGAATATTTACTTAAAAATACAATTTTATCAATTTCCGTAGTAATATAAATCAAGATCAGTTTCATAATTTAATTTTGAAAAACAATAGTTCAGATTGTTTTTTTTTACATGGCTCTATTACAGACTTCGTCCCCTTTCACGAGTAAAACCTGCCTCATAACAAAATGCGTACATGTAGACTAATATTTTGTTCAGAAACGCATATATAAATATAAGCTTTGGTGATCTTCACTTGGAAATGAACGTTTACAATGCACCTATTTAACTGTTATTTATTTATATAGTGTACGCTCAAGTCCGAAGTATTAATTTTCTTCTGCTAACCACACATGCGCTGATTGATTGAATGTTTACTAAACGTCTAGATAGTGGGAAATTTCACATGGATACTCAGGACGAGAATCTATCAACAATACCAACAAAAGGTAGGCTCTGCAAATGGATAGTGATGAGGGGTGTGAAATTAAGACATCACCATATTTAACAACGCCATTCCGACCGAGTGTAGCTTGTATTTACACATCTCGCAGAGCGCAACGGACGCAACTCTTTGGCATGGGACGGGAGAAGCTCAATTGACCTGATGACCATTTTTCTATAGCCAAGTCAACCCTAAGTGACTGAAATGGAATTTGAAATTATTCAAGCAACTCTGTCGATTTTTCCACCAGTGATTTCGACCTTTAAATCATGAAGATATATGTAACTTAAGTGATCAAAACCTCTGGTAGAAAGATCGGAAGAGTTGCTATGCATATAATTTCCAACTATATTTTTATACGCCCGTCAAATTTTTGACGGGACGTATTATGGTATACAAATGTCCGGCGTCCGTCCGTCTGTCTGTCTGTCCGTCTGTCTGTCCGTCCGTCCGTCTGTCTGTCCGTCTGTCTGTCCGTCCGTCTGTCTGTCCGGCGTAAACATGTCGCACCGTAACTTGAGAATGACTTATCCAAATTTCATGAAACTTAATATAGTTGTTTCTTATGATGGTCAAACGATCTGTATACTTTTTGGTGATAATAAGATTAAAACTTTTTGAGTTACGGGACTTAGTAACTAAAACAGGTGTGTGTTTTTTTTCACATGTCGCGCCGTATCTCAAAAACAATTTATGATTATTGCTTAAAACTTTACACACTTCTTAGTTATATTAATCTTAAGATCTGTATACTTTTTTGTGATGATTCAAAATTTTGTTTTAGAGATATTGAGTATTTTGTTAAAAAAGGGGGAGGGGTTTTTCACATGTCGCGCCGTATCTCAAAAACGATTTATGATTATTGCTTAAAATTTTACACACTTCTTAGTTGTATTAATCTAAAGATCTGTATACTTTTTGGTTTTGATTCAAAATTTTATTTTAGAGATATTGAGTTTTTTGTAAAAAAAAAAAGGGGGTTTTCGCATGTCACGCCGTATGTCAGAAACTATTTATGCTTATTGCATAAAAATTCACACACAAGACGACGGGCGTATCATGCGCTCATGGCGCAGCTGATTATTATATTCATCAATTGGTGGTGAACAAACATAAAGTTCTTTCGGGACTATTGCATAAAGTTCATTCATTCAATAAATAAAATATGCTAAATATATCAATGTCAATAGGTCACTAAATTGCATAAAAGAGAAGTGAAAGATACCAAAGGTACATTCAAACTCATAAGTCGAAAATGAACTGAAAACTCCATGGCAAAAAAAAAGAAAAAGACCAAAAGACAAAGAATAGTATACAAAACACAGCACAGAAAACTAAAGTCTTAACAATTTCTTTCAAAATTTTAAATTGTACTTCATGTACTTTATATGATTCACATATTTATTTTTCTAAATTTTAAATTGTACTTCCTGTTCTACATATGTATTTGGAATGTCACATTACATGTTGTCTTCCAGGTCATTAGGAACAATTTTCTTCATCCAATTATCCTTATATATATATATATATATATTTGTTGTTCGACCTGTTAGTCAAATGCGTTTTGTTAACATATACTTTTTCACTTTTTTGGTCTTTTGGAAAATGTTGTTTGTGCTGTATTTAGACCCCTCTACCAAGAAATTTGTTTTGCATGCACACGTATAAAAATTGCGGTTTTTATCCAACGCAATTATAGGTTTGAACGTTGTTTTCAATTTACACTTGTATATAGTCAAATTCGTTTTGTCAAAATATACTTTTCACTTTTTGGTCTTTTGGAAAATGTTGTTTGTGCTGTATTTTGATCCCTCTACCAAGAAATTTGTTTTACATGCACACGTATAAAAATTGCGGTTTTTATCTAACGCAATCATAGGTTTGAACGTTGTTTTCAATTTAGACTTGTTTATATTTTTTCGTTTGGGCTTGTATTATATTTTCCTTCGGGTTTATATGATCCGTTCATCCTATTTCGACTCTTTAAAATTCAAGAGTCTATCCTAAATTTAGGTAAATTATATGACCTTCCAAATACCGTTTCGATCCCTAACATCACTGAAGAGACATTAATTGTCGAAATCCGGATATGGTTTATACAAATGTTTGCACCTCATGTTTGCGATATTCTATCTTTTTCGCAAGTTTTTTGTTTTCTGTTTGGTATTAAATTAATAATTAAGATCCATGTTACATCTGGTGATCAATTTATTTGGCAATCTCCAATGGCAGTCAGCAGGGTTAAAGAACATCAGTTGTTCGACCTGTTAGTCAAATGCGTTTTGTTAAAATATACTTTTCACTTTTTGGTCTTTTGGAAAATGTTGCCAGTTTGTGCTGTATTTTGACCCCTCTACCAAGAAATTTGTTTTACATGCACACGTATAAAAATTGCGGTTTTTATCCAACGCAATCATAGGTTTGAACGTTGTTTTCAATTTAGACTTGTTTATATTTTTTCGTTTGGGCTTGTATTATTTTTTCCTTCGGGTTTATATGATCCGTTTATCCTATATCGACTCTTTAAAATTCAAGAGTCTATCCTAAATTGAGGTAAATTATATGGCCTTCCAAATACCGTTTCGATCCCTAACATCACTGAAGAGACATTAATTGTCGAAATCCGGATATGGTGTATACAAATTTTTGCACCTCATGTTTGCGATATTCTATCTTTTTCGCAAGTTTTTTGTTTTCTGTTAGGTATTAAATCAATAATTAAGATCCATGTTACATCTGGTGATCAATTTATTTGGCAATCTCCAATGGCAGTCAGCAGAGTTTAAGAACATCAGTTGTTCGACCTGTTAGTCAAATGCGTTTTGTTAAAATATACTTTTCACTTTTTGGTCTTTTGGAAAATGTTGCCAGTTTGTGCTGTATTTTGACCCCTCTACATAGAAATTTGTTTTACATGCACACGTATAAAAATTGCGGTTTTTATCCAACGCAATCATAGATTTGAACGTTGTTTTCAATTTAGACTTGTATATACAAACAATTTGCGAAAGCAAATTTACAGATCTAACATTGTTGGGCTGAATTGTTGGGCTTATGTTTAGACGAGTTGTATATACAGAATGTACACAGCCATGTATCACCATCACTGCTGGTGATCCGATAGATAAATCTGTTGTAGAGTTGTCACTGGTTCAGACATTAACATGTAGCAACTCCATACGAGCTTTAATGACTGAGGTCAAATATTTTTTGCCCATTTCATCAACATTTTTTCCGATATTATCACAGAACAAAAAGGCTCTGCGCCGATGCTGAATTAAAGCTTATTAAAGTTCAACCTCTGAGAAAAACACACCAGTTCCTGCATTGAGAAGGAAATCATGTAAATCAGAAAAGAAACGTTTTCGAATGTCATTATATGCCTGGCATTCCAACAATACATACAAAACTGA